AACCCTAAACCCTAAACCCTAAAACCTAAACCCTAAACCCTAAATCTGCCGAGGTGCTGGGCACGGAGCATCCCGACTTCATCGAGGGCTTCGATGCCGCGGCAGCGAACACCGTAGAGCTCTTCGAGACCCTGGAGCCCTCCCTGGGTTTCTTTCGGGGGTTCAGGGTTTAGGGTCTAGGGTTTAGGGTTTAGGATTTTGGGTTTTAGGGTTTGGGGTTTTAGGGTTTAGGATTTAGGGCTTTGGGGGGTTTGGAGTTTAGGTGTTAGGGTTCAGGGGTGAAGGGTTTAGGGGTTCAGGTGGGGTTTGGGGGGTGTCTGGGAGTTGCGGGTTAGGAGGTTTAGGAGGTTTAGACCGTGGAGCCTTTTCTGGGTCTTTGGGTTTTTGGGGTTTGGGGGTTTTAGGGCTTTGGGCGGTTTAGGGTATAGGGTTTGGGGTTTTAGGGTGTTGGGGTTTTAGGGTTTAGGGTTTTAGGGTGTTGGTTTTTTTTTTTAAAGATTTTTGAGGGTGGTTTGGGTGTTTTAGGGCTTTGGGGTTTTAGGGTTTTGGGGTTTTTGGGAAGTATTGGGGTGTTAGGGCTTTTGGGGTTTTGGGGTTTTAGGGCATAGGGTTTTGAGGGTTTAGGGTTTTGGGGTTTTAGGGTTTTGTGGGTTTTGGGGTTTTAGGGTTCTGAGGTTTGGGGGTTTTAGGGGGGTTCGGGGTTTAGGGGTTTTGGGGTTTTAGGGTTTTAGGGTTTTAGGGTTTTAGGGTTTTAGGCCTCAAGAGGCCTTGAAGGTTTGAGGGTTTTAGGGTTTAGTGTTTTTGTGGGCTTTGGGGTTCTAGGGCTTTGGGGTTTTAGGTTGTTGGGGGTTTAGGCTTTTGGGGTATTAGGGCTTTTGGGGTATTAGGGCTTTTGGGGTATTAGGGCTTTTGAGGTTTTGGGTTTTAGCCCATAGGGTTTGAGGGTTTAGGGTTTTGGGGCTTTGGGGTTTTAGGGTTTGAGGGTTTTGGGGTTTTTGGGCTTTAGGGTTTTGGGGGGTTTTACAGGGGTTTGGGGTTTTAGGGCTTTGTGGTTTTAAGGTTTTAGAGTTTTAGGGTTCAGGGTTTTAGGGCTTCAGGGCTGTTTCAGGGCTTCAGGGTTTCAGGGTTTTAGGGTTTGGGGGGTTTAGGGTTTTAGGGTTTTAGGGTTTAGGGTTCAGGGTTTAGGGTTTAGGTTTTAAGGGTTTAGGGGTTGGAGTTTAGAGTTTTTAGGGTTTCAGGGTTTCAGGGTTTTAGGGTTCAGGGTTCAGGGTTCAGGGGTTCAGGGCTGAGGCTTTTGGGGTTTGAGATTCTGGGGCCCTCCTTGCGATTAGGGGATTTAACGACTTTTTAGGATGAAGGTTTTCAGGGTGTTAGGGTAAAAGGGTTTTAGGGGTTTCAGGGAAACGTGTGTTTTGGGTTTTTAGGGTTAAAGGGTGTTTGGGGTTTACGAGAAACCCTAAGCCATAAACGCTTACCCTAAGCCCTTAACCCTTCGGGTCACTTGAAGCTTTGAAGCTTTGCGGTTTAGGGCCGAAAAGGGCTCAGGGACAGCACCCCACCATCTAAATCTGAGTGGAGGTTATGCTCTGAACCTCTAAACCCCGAAGCCCCCAAACCAAACCCCAAACCCCAAACCCCAAACCCCAAACCCCAAACCCCAAACCCCAAACCCCAAACCCCAAACCCCAAACCCCAAACCCCAAACCCTAAACCCTAAACCCTAAACCCCAAACCCTAAACCCTGAACCCTAAACCCTAAACCCTAAACTTAAATCCCTTAGCAAGGAGTCTTTGGGGTTTTGGAGGTGTAGGTTTTCAGGATTTCGGGATCTGACGGTAAAGGGCCTAACATGGAACCTCCCAGGGTTTAGGGTTTAGTTAGGGTTTAGGGTTTAGGGGTTAGTTCGGGTTTAGGATGTAGGGGTTATTTAGGGTTTAGGGTTAGGGTTTCGGGTTTAGGGTTTAGGGTTTAGGGTTTAGGGTTCCACACCTGAACCACCTCAAAAAGAACCCTGAAACGGAAGCCCTAAAGCCCTGAACCCGAAAGTCCTGAAACCCCAAACCCTAAACCCTAAACCCTAAACCCTAAACCCTAAACTCTAAACCCTAAACCCTAAACCCTGAACCACCGGCGGCAGTGGGCAGCCGGAGCCCCACATCCGAGAAGACCCAAACCTAAACCCTAAACCCTAAACCCCAAACCTTAAACCCTAAACCCTAAAACCCTAAACCCTCAACCCTAAACCCTAAACCCTAAACCCCAAACCCTAAACCCTAAACCCTAAAACCCTCAAGCCTTGGAACCCCAAAGACCCTAAACCCTTAACATAGGGTCTGAAGAATTCCTAGCAATATTGCCTTATGGTCCCTTTCGAACTATACTCACCCCTATTCTAATTTCATATTGTCCCACCCTAAACCCTAAACCCTAAACCCTAACCCCTAAACCCTAAACCCTAAACCCAAAACCCCAAACCCTAAATCCTAAACCCTCAACCCTAGCCCTAAACCCGAAACCCCCCAAAAAACCCCAAAACCGGGGCCTCAGGAGTTGGTGCCTGCCGGTGCTGCAGGCCCTGCGCCGCTGAGGGTTTCCTGTTGAGGGCTTAGGGTTTTGTCCTGGGTTTAGGGTTTAGGGTTTAGGGTTTAGGGTTCAGGGTTTAGGGTTCAGGGTTTAGGGTTTAGGGTTTAGGGTTTAAGGGTTTAGGGTTTGGGGGTTAAGGGTTAAGGGTTTAGGGTTTAGGGCTTGAGCTGACTTCATCTTGTCCTCCCCAAGCGTTCCAGCCGCAAGTCCTGCGTAACCCAGGCTTCTGTTTTCAAGGGACAGGAAATTGCATTGAGCTGAGCATCTCGTATCAACCGAGGGCTTCCCACCGAAGCAAGGTTTGCACAGATTGCCGTCAGGATTTCCTGGCCCTAAGCCCTAAATCCTAAGCCCTAAACCCTAAACCCTAAACCCTAAACCCTAAACCCCAAACCCCAAACCCAAAACCCAAAGCTGTTAAGGTTTGTTGTCATCAGGGCTGGAGGTTGAAGCCCTATGCCCACCACTTTGAGGATGTCCTACTCGATTGTGGGCACGAATGCTCAAGCCCTCAACCCCAGACCCCAAAGGTAGAACCCCTCCACCCCCCTTCCCTCCTAAACCTTTCACCGTAAACGCTAAACCCAAAACCCTCAACCCTCAAACCGAACGACCCCCCCCCCCCCCCCCAGGAAAAATAAAACCAAACAGCAGAAACGAAAGAATGAGAGCAATGCATAAGCAGGCAGGGTTCCAGTTTCGGGTTGAGGCTTCAGCCATAGGGGCAGTGGCGTTCACCAGGTCTTGACAGCTCTATAGCTCCACGGTTATCTATATGTGCTTCTGTGCATGAACTCAGACACGCAAAGCACATACGTACATATATATATATATATATATCGTATGTGAAGGATATATATATATATATATATATATATATATATATTCAATATGCGAACGCATGAATCTCCCTCCTCCAAGCACCTCACAGCTCAACAGGGCGGCTCTCGGAGATGCCAGCCGGGCCTAGCCACTGCTCTACATCGTTTAGCTTCGGCTTTGCGCTTCTTCGCGCATGTGGGCACGTTTCGGGTTTAGGGCTTAGGGTTTAGGGCTTAGAGTTTAGGGTCCAGGGTCTCGCTAGCTAGAGCAGCAGGTTTTCCTGCCATGCTATGCGTCTGGAGCGTTTCCGGCCAAAAGCTGGCTGCAGCGCCTGTGGGCGACACATTCGAAGACGTGCTCGAATTGAAACGCCACCTGCGAAGCCAGCATGGCTTCCCAGTCTGCCTTCAACAGCTCCTACAGGCTGGCCGCTGCTTAGAGGATGGCGCTGCTCTAGTGGAGCCTGTTGACCTTGAACTGGTGCTGTTATCCACCCTCAGCCCGAAGCAGATGCCCCAGGCTGAACGTGAATTATTTGAGTGTGCTGCCGAGGCGGGCCACGTGGAAGCGGTCCGCGCTCTGCTGGCAGCTGGTGTTGACAAGGACTTGGAGAACTTTGAGACCGGCGAAACGGCTCTCATGCGCGCGTCTTCCAAGGGCCATGTCGAGATGGCGCGTTTGCTGCTGGAGGCCGGTGCTGACATGAACTTGCAGTTCTTATTCGGCGAGTGCGCTCTCTTGAGCGCATCTTTCAAGGGCCATGCCGAGATTGTGCGTTTGCTGTTGGAAGCGCAGGCCGACATGAACTTGTCGGACGATTCCGGCGAGACCGCTCTCAAGCTCGCGTCTTCTGAGGGCCACGTCGCGATTGTGCGTTTGCTGCTGGAAGCTGGTGCCGATATGAACTTGCAAGACAGGTCCGGCGAGACCGCTCTGATGCGCATGCGAGATGCTTCCGAGTTCCATGTCGAGATAGCACGTTTGCTGCTGGAATTGGAAGTTGAGATGAACATGTCGGACGAGCATGGCAAAAAGCAGCCAAGCCCTCTATGCCCTACAAGCCCTAAAAGCGCTATCAACCCTAAACCCTAAACTCTAGCCTAAACCCTACACCCTACACCCTACACCCTAAACCCTAAACCCTAAACCCTAAACCCTAAACCCTAAACCCTAAACCCTAAACCCTAAACCCTAAACCCTAAACCCTAAACCCTAAACCCTAAACCCTAAACCCCAAACCCCAAACCCTAAACCCTAAACCCACATCGAGATCGTACATGTGCTCGGAGCCAACCGGGCGAATCAAACCTAGAATCCGAAGCCCCTTAAGCCCTTAAGCCCTTTAAGCTCTAGAACCCTCCGGGCAGAAGTGCTAAGTTGGGAGTCTTCGAGAGCCAGCAGACGCACCCGAAACCCTTCTTCCTCCTGCACCTCGCAAGACGCGCCTGGGACGGCTCTCTAAAGGGTCCCTGAACATGAGCTCTTGATGCTGGCCTCCAAACTTTAGTTTCACAACCCCTGTGCGTGTTTTGCTTGTTGGGTTTCTGCTCAGCTATCCTCCTGGCCCTCAGGACTCCACAGAGAAGCCTGCAGAATGTCCCTGGAGCGCCCATCCAGGCCATGCTGTGCGTCTGGAGCGTTTCTGGGCGAAATCTGGCTGCAGCGCCGGCGGGCGAGATACACGGTGCTCCAGTTGAAACGCCGCCTGCGAAGCCAGCATGGCATCCCAGTCTGCCTTCAACAGCTCCTACAGGCTGCTATATCCCCCTTGGGGAATGATTTCTTATTTTTGCTTATATAAAACCCAAGAGGATATGAAACATATCATTTTTATTAAGGTTCTAAGAGCTCCCAGAGGTTGGTCGATGCTTGGGGGATTCTGAGCCTCTAGTCGGGCCCGTCGACCTGCAGCTGGTGCTGTTCTCCGCCCTCAGCCCGAAGCAGATGTCTGAGGCGGAGAAGGAGTTTCTTGAGTTTGCTGTCGACGTGGAAATGGGCCGTACTCTGCTGGCATCTGGTGTTGACAAGGATGCCGACAAGAACTTGCGGAACATTTCCGGCGTGACCGCTCTCGTGCGCGCATCTGTCAAGTGCCACATCGAGATTGTGTGTTTGCTGCTGGAAGCTGGTGCCGACAGGAACTTGCAAGACAGGTCCGGCGAAACTGCTCTTACGCACGCATCTTCCACGGGCCATGTCGAGATTGTACTGGGAGCCAAACGGGCAAAACTTAACCTCCAAGCCCGAAGCGGGCTATTGCAGGATTGAGGTGGCGTACTTGTCCTGGCAGCCCTGCCGCCATGTTGTCGGAGGAAAGTGGACGGAAACCTCCCAAAAGTTTTTTTATTGTGTCCCCATAGATCTTAAGCCCCAACCTAGGCCCTAAAACCCTCAAGCCTTAAACCACCAACCCCCAAAACCCTTCAACCCAGTACAAGCACCTCTGGCAGAAGTGCTAACTCCGAAAGCCTGATCCCGAAACAACATGCGGGTTGAGGATTAGGGTGTATAGGGGTTAAACCCTAAACCCTAAACCCTAAACCCTAAACCCTAAACCCTAAACCCTAAACACTAAACCCTAAACCCTAAACCCTAAACCCTAAACCCTAAACCCTAAACCCTAAACCCTAAACCCTAAACCCTGAACCCTAAACCCTAAACCCTAAACCCTAAACCCTAAACCCTAAACCCTAAACCCTAACCCCTAACCCCTAACCCCTAAACCTAAACCCATAAAGGGTTTGGGGAGGCTCTGGCGCAAGGCTCTCGGATCACCATAGCCATAGTTTACCTTACTTGTTACATTACGTAGCTGTACCCATGAACCTCCAAGCAGACACATGATTTTAGGAACCGCTGGGTGTTTGGTTGTTCGAGCCTTTGCCCAGATATTCTCCCGGCCTGCTCAAGAGAATCTCGCGCGCAGAAGTTCCCGCGCGAGAATCCCGCAGCGCGTGGTTTGGAGTACCCTTATCCAAAGAATCCGAGAGAGAATTCCACCCGTGCCCAATCCCGCAGAGGACAATTGGAGCGCCTTATTGTTTTTAGGGGGACGTTCGAATCAAAGTGAACAGTTGGATGGTTTAGGTTCGGCTTTGCGATTCTTGGCTACAAGTAGACACGTCTCGCTAGCTAGAGCAGCAACCCCTCAAGTCTACTCCATGCTGTGCGTCTGGAGCGTGTCCGGCCAAAAGCTGGCTGCAGCGCCCACAGGTGAGACGTTCGAAGACGTGCTCCATTTGAAACGCCACCTGCGAAGCCAGCATGGCGTCCCAGTCTGCCTTCAACAGCTCCTACACGCTGGCCGCTGCTTAGAGGATCGTGCGTCTCTAGTTGGGCCCGTTGACCTGCAGCTGGTGCTATCCGTCCTCAGCCCGGAGCAGATGCCTGAGGCTGAGCGTGAGTTTTTTGAGTATGCTGCCGACACAGGGTGTGTGGAAGTGGGCCGCGCTCTGCTGGCGGCTGGTGTCGACAAGAACTTGCAAGATGCATCCGAGACGGCTCTCATGCGCGCATCTTACAAGGGCCATGTCGAGATTGTGCACCTGCTGCTGGAAGCTGGTGCCGACAAGGACTTGCAGATAATGTCCGGCGCGACCGCTCTCATGCTCGCATCTTCCGAGGGTCACGTCAAGATTGCATGTTTGCTGCTGGAAGCTGGTGCCGACAAGAATTTGCAGAACATGTTCGGTGAGACCGCTCTCATACTCGCATCTTCCGAGGGCCGCGTCGAGATTGTGCGTTTGCTGCTGGATGCTGGTGCCGACAAGAACTTGCAGAACAGGTCCGGTGCATCAGCTCTCATGCACGCATGTTCCGAGGGCCATGTTGAGATTGTACGTTTGCTGCTGGAAGCTGGTGCCAACATGAACTTGCAGAACAGGTCCGGCGCGACCGCTCTCATGCACGCATCTTCCGAAGGCCGCGTTGAAATTTTACGTCTGCTGCTGGACGCTGGTGCCGACAGGAACGTTCAGGAATGGTCCGGTGAGACCGGTCTCATGCGGGCATCTTCCGAGGGTCACATCGAGATTGTGCGTTTGCTGCTGGAAGCGGGTGCCGACAGGAACTTGCAAGACAGGTCCGGCCAGACTGCGCTGATGCACGCATCTTCCGAGGGCCACGTCGAGATGGTAGATGTGCTGGAGGCTAAGCTAAGCCCTAGCCAGGACAGCTGTTCGCCGGGTTGACGTAGCATTTCTCCAGACAGCTCGGCAGCAGCGCCAAGTTCACAAACGCGTTCCAACCCCCTCCGTGCCGATCTAGACCTTGATCTGTGTAAACCCCTAGACATCCCGCAAGCCTTAAACCTTAAACCCGAATTAGACCCTAAACCCTAAACCCTAAGCCCTAAACCCTAAACCCTAAAGCCTAAACCCTAAACCCTAAACCCTAAAGCCTAAACCCTAAACCCTAAACCCTAGTCTGTTCCCCAGTCCTCTCAGTGCAGGCGTCCCCTTAGACCGCCTTGCTTCCGTGCACGGACACTACTTCGGCAGCGGCTTTGAGAAAACCGTGGGCCGGATCCCCAGACCATATAGGGTTTAATGTTTAGGGTTTAAGGTTTAGGGTTTAGGGTTTAAGGTTTAGGGTTTTGGGTTTAGGGTTTTGGGTTTAGGGTTTCGGGGGTGACGTGCCTTTATCCGGTACCCTAACTGTTTAGAAGGGGCTGCTTTTTTTCTCAGCAGCAAGCCAGAACTGGGACCATGCAGAGACCTGACCATTGACCATGTGTTCGTGCCGTTCCTACTTGACAAGGGTTTAGGGT